TAACCGAAAAATTAGCATTATTTAACCGAAAAACCATGTATTATACAACATAAATAATAACAGTACAGTTAATCCGATTAATCGCTTAAAAGTAATAGTAAATCAGTTAATCGATTAAAAGTAATATTATTTATGTTGCGATTAATTCAATTAATCGCTTAAAAGTAATAGTAAATCAGTTATTTTGCGATTAATCCGATTAATCGCTTTAAAGTAATAATATATTTCAAGATTTGTTATTTAATTATAAATACGTCGTATTTTTGAATTTCAAAATTCAGGCTCTCCTCGACCTCGTTGAAACTGATAATAAATAAAATCACATAATATTATTTAAAATTAATTTATCATAATATAGTGAAAAATTTTTGAATAAATAATCTCCCTTCTTGAACAAAAATACAATTTTAATTAAATATGATACTTATTAATTACCAAAATATTGTAAATATCATAAAAGTACCATGTCCTTCAACTATTAGTGTAGATGAAATCGTAAAAATCCATTTAAAAAATGGAATTAAGAATGTTAATAAAACTATGAACGCATTCATGATTTATCGAAAAGAATATAATAATGTAGTTGCAAAGTTGAATCTTTCAAGTAAAGATGTATCCAAATTTGCTAAAACTTCATGGGAAAATGAACCCAAAGATGTCAAAGACTATTACCGACAGATGGCAAGAAATGTAAAAAAATGTTTCAAAGATATTTATTTTTACTAATTCTTTATTTGAGCAAATAAAAGAAAATAAAAAATAATTTTTTATTATGATAATAAGTCAGTTCTTCTGTTATAGGAAGCGCATGTTTTTATAATCTATCATTGTTTTGTCTAACAATATGATTAGAATGTTATTCACGCTTTACTGACAAAATTGAAATAAATGATTCTCTTATATCATAATAAAGTTAATTTGATAAATAGATTTTTATTTAAACGAAATTTATTGTTTTTGACCCATATGTAAAAATGTTTATATACTGTAATGTACTCTATAAATTTTCTTAAAGTTATAATTCAATAAAGAAGACAATAAGTTTTGTAGAATCACTATTTATTTATTCTATCCTCTTTAATATTGACATAAATGAAAAAAATATTATTATGTAATTAAATAACTAGGTATAGAGTCAACGCAAAATATAAATTGACGATTATAAATTACGATTATAAATTCGTCCTCATCCATAAAGATCATTTTTAAAATTGCCAGATACGATGGTCAGCATTTCGGTCCGTATTTGAAGGTGGAAGATTAAAATAAAAATAGATATCATCTAGAGAGTTTGGTCTATATTCATATATGGAGAATTATCCGTCGGTAATAGTTTTTGACATCTTCTGCTCATCTTTCATAAATTTTTAGCAAATTTAGATATATCTTTACTTGAAAGATTCAACTTTGCAACCATATGATTATATTCTTTTCGATAAGTCATGAATGCGTTTATAGTTTTATTAACATTCTTAATGCCATTTTTTAAATGAATTTCTACGATTTCATCTACATTAATGGTTGGAGAAATGGGGCTTTCACTATGTTTCTAACATTTTGGTAGTTGGTAGAAAGAAACATATTTAAATAAGAACTCTTTTTGTTCGTGAAGGGAGATTATTTATTTAAAATTTTTTTTTCATTAAATTATAATAAGTTAATTTAATTAATAAATTTAAAATTATATGTGATTTTATTTATTATTCGGGTTCAAAGAGGAGAGCGAAATTCAAAAATCCGACGTATGTATTTTGAAAATTTATGTTTACTTTAATCAGCAATTTAAATAATATTAAATACAAGTGTTTTACCTCGTTATACTTCGAGATTTTAACAAATTTCCTACTTTTATGTAGGCCACTTTAATAGAAAGGTTACTGAAATCAGTTCTTTTAATGGAAAAGGTTAAAAAATAGCGAAGAGCAAAGTTCCCAGTAGATACACTATAAGTACGTAAAAAAAGTGTGACAGAATGACTTATTATTATCGGGTCGCAAAAGTTTCATTTTTGATAGACTTGTGGTTATTTTTTTGATATATAGAGATACGCATGAAAAAAGTAGTTATTTTTTTGATATCTTTAATTATTACTTTATAGATGTATCAAAAAGATAACTATTTTGTCACATGAAAATTTAATATATAAAAAAAATAACCTCAAATCTATCAAAAAACGAAATCTTTGC